AGCTCAGGCCACTTATGAACATCAGTAAATTATACCTTAGAATTGCTCATATATCCACTGAGCTGGCAGATTCCATTGACAGCCACTTGAAACGTGTTTCTGAGAAAATTGTCAGTGTGTCTGGAAGTACTGTAGTGAAACTTTGTTGTAATTTGAATCAGGTTTGAAATCTAAGCAATGAACTAACCGTTGCTTCAGCGTTATTATGTACAAGCTGTGGCAAGTATTAGCATTGCTTAGGATAGTTTGTCCTAATTAAAGTTTTCTGTGAATTCATAGATGACTTACATTGACAGCCATTGTGCTAACAGTATGTTACATAAACACAAAATGAATTAAATCTGAATATCAAATCTCTGGCACACCCTCCTTGGGTGACCTCACTTTAGATTTGATGCAATTAAATAAAGCTTGTATAAATTGAATTAAGAACTGAAAGTAGATTCATCCTTTGGGAACCCCTGCAGCAGAATCTGATGTCTTTGGTGTTCCTAATGTCATATCATTGGACTCACCATCATTTTCTACAATGCAGGTGCATCAGATGAATGAAATTTGAGATTGTTTTCCACACTACTGAAAGCAATTAAATGAAATATGGGTAAAATGTGATAAACTTTATAAGTTAAATAGGGTGGACACACACATATATATGTATATAACATCTTATTTCTTGAACTAGAATTTGTAGCAAGCGACATTTTCCACAGTAAACAACAACAAACTTGCATTTATACAGCGCCTTTCACGTCAGAAGGTCACCTCAAGACTTTGGACAGTCAAGGGTTTGCACCCTGGCTAAATGCTCAACAAAGATTTTATGCGATAGAATTAAAATCTTTCCCAAATCTAATTAAACTGAACTAAAACTAAACAAGCAAACTTGAATTAAAGGCCTTATATTAAAAGAGTGGCTGTCTGTGGTTGTGCTGCTATTTAGAGGTTTCTCTACTTTAGAATATCTGCCATCGTTGCTTTAATCATAGACATAATGAGACAGGATGTTGGTTGCCAGATCCCAAAAGAGAGATGGTTGGAAACTGATTGAACTGTTTATACTGTGTTTTGGTCCACAAAAGAATTATGGAAGGAGTACAATAACTGAAGTAATGGGATCATGTTCCAGTGATACTAAATTGGATTTTCATTTGGAGTAATTAAGAGGTTGTTTTGTTCACATTCTGGCACTACCATGTGAAACTTAATAGGCAAGAATAAATTTATGCCTCGCTGTAAAATAATCCTTTGTTAAGATTGCTGCAGTGCTTGATTTACATGCCCTGATATTTAAACGGTAAGGGTTTTATGTTCACAAATATCAGGAGAGGATATCTTACACAAGGCCAATAAACATTTTTCAATCTGAGATTTAGTTACTCTTTTTATAGGCATACATTGCTGAGATAAGTTTACCTTTAGAATGGAGTCTTTCGGCTTTTAGGTAAGAATATTTAACTCGTGAACTGCTAAAACAATCATTGTCCTCCTTTTAACTAACTACAGTATCTGGTCAGTTGTTTGCATGATGAGTGTGAAATTATCTGTGATGCATTAACTTTTGCTTACAAACTGCTGCATTTTATGTGAACTTTGAAGTTTGCCACCTTCAATGTGAAATCTGTGGCTGTCTTTAACAAATGAAATAATTTGCGTTAGGAGGACATTTTGTTCAGCCACTGGCACATAACCATTCCTTGGTGGTATTCATTTAATCACAAAATGCACTATTTGGCAAGCAAATCTCTTAATGGATCTATCAAAAACACACTAAATTACTTGTTTACTCATAGGTAGAGGAAGCACTGAGGAACCTGTACAATCTGAAAACCTTGCATTGCTTTCAATAATTTACTAGCTTAAGCGTAACAAACAGTTATCCTGCTTTTTAATAATCCTTTTGGTATTGGTTCAGCTAAGCAGGGCTGTTATTGTGCTTATGTTATGGCTTAATGTGTTTGAAAGGTACACACAAACTACTTCAATCCATCTATGTTGCCTTCGTTAACCATATAATTTTGTTAGAAAATAAATTGTGTACAAGTTCAAAATATATCATTTGTCACATAAAACACAGAGCCAGAACTCAAAATGTTAAATGTACCATAAATACCAAATTGGAGCACATGAAATTGAGAGCCAGCAGCCCTTTCTGTGCCACATTCTTAGAAATGAGTAACTAGCCTGCGCAGCATGCATACACAGTACTCTTCAAATTAATTCATAATCAGACTCAGCAAAGCAACTCCAGTAACTGAAATCACTCTTACTGTAAGGGAGGTGGGACAAGATGACGACAAATGGCCCTCGAGCAGCTAAGCTCACAAGTATTTTTGCCAGGCAGTCCATCCCACTTTTTGTTTTGTCAGTGATCTGCTATTACATGAGTAATCGGCGTTTGAGTGGGAGCGAGAAGTTGTGGGCAGAGAGGAAATGCTACGATAATTCACCAGAGTTTCAATTTACTGTGCATCAGAATGCTGCATATTGTCACATGCTGCAATATTAATGTTTGAAGCTAGTAGGACAAGGTTGATTCAGCTAAAATGGGTAAAAGACTTTTCTGTTTATTCTGTTTGTCTGTTATATTCTTTGACTGGTTCTCGTTCCTCCCTCTATACAGAAGGATGTTAAAAATTCGCAGTGTAGAAAACGTATTGTATATTAAATGACTCATTGTAGGTTGTAGTATTTAATCAAGGGGAAAGTATTTCAACAATAGCTGCACAGCATTAGCGAACTGAATTGAAAGATAACCATGTTATAGTGGTTGTGTAATAAAATAAATTAGCATTTCATAACTCAAGTTATATGTGGTATGTGTTTGGGGGAAAGAGAGAAAGAGTTCATTTTTACTGTAATACAAGATATCACCATATTTTAACATTGCTGCTAAGGTATTTTAAACCAAAAGTGTTTTTTTTGGAATTTATTAATCACCTTAAATTGGATTGTCTCTTCAGGCATTGATTTTTAAGAGTTACTATGAAATTTAACAATGACATTTGTTACACATGCTTAGAATACTCAGTAGCATACAACAAGGAAGATTTTGCTAATTAAAGGAACAACATTGCTCATTACACAACAAACCTAATTAACTAATATTTCCCTTTAGTCGATGTTTAATGCAGGCCATGAATTTATATTTAGTACTGTATATATAAAGCATTGTAGGCATTTTACCAGAAATAATGTATCAACCTTAAGTTGTTCTTTTCCCAAACTTATTTAGGTGAATAATTCAGAACACTGAATAAAACTAATTAAAGATTAAAGAATCTGTAGCAAAGTCAGAGCTCTTAAGTATTTATTATATGACTTGCTTTCTTTTAATTACAATATAAATACAAGCCTTATGGTCTTTAAACATCCCAACAGATTTGCATGGCATTATTGCACATACAGAATTATATTTCTGTGATAGTTCTGTTTTAAAATCTGTACTTTGTTAATTATGGCTTACAGTTAAACCACACATTCTGCCATTAGAATAGGCTCTGGCTACTGGATACATACATAGTAATTAGATCAGAATCCTTTCTTATTACATGCTACTTTTGATGTCACGGTTGCTTGTTATGGTATTATGTGAAAGAAAGTATGAATTTAGCTTTTCAAATATGCAGCGCTATAATTAATGTTCCCAAATCTCACAAACGTTTTGGGATTGAATACAGTCTAGCTCCAAAGACTTAAATAAAACAAGATCTCAATTTTTTTAGACAGCTCTTATTTAACTTCAGAATACTGCTGCTTTGGGAGGAGCATAATTACTTGAAGCCTTTTATTTCATCATTTAAAATAGAGGAATTGATATATTCCTGGTGTAAACTGTATTCCTGGGGCGTTGCACTGGTACTGTGTGAGCATGTCATTTGCATTGTTGTCAGTGAATGAGAACAGATTGGGAGTTATTGTATTGTTCAGATTCATCAATACAGCGATATGATGACTAGTGAAACAAATTGCATTTAAATTGTGGATTCAGAGCGTTAGTTGGATGAAACAATCCTTGCTTCTAAGATTACTCTGTATTAACACAGCATATTTGGCATGGTTTACAACAGTGTTTCAGCTTTTACTAGGGTTGACATATGTGAAAGATTAGAAAACACAGTAAATCAAATCTTAAAGTGAGGCTTGAAGCTCTAAATATTGTAAAACTGTATCATTTTACAATTAAATTATTTTCACACGATTTGTGCAATTCATAGCAAAATTTAGCATTATAATAGAGCTACAATAAACAGTGATCTGTTTAATATAGCTAAGGTGTTTTGCAAAATTTGTATTGGAAGCCACCTATAAATGAAGGTGGATCAGGCCTGTCTTTCTATGTAAGCTTGGAAACAGAACTCACCATTGACTGACTTATGGACCTTTAATATCTGCCAAAACCCATGTGGAAACCACGTGGTGGTGGACTGTAACATAATTATTATTATAAGGATTATAATTATTATTATAATGCCCACTGAAGAATTTGGTTAAAAATCACTGATAATGGAACAATGGCAGAATGAAAGTGAGAAAAGAAAGCGAAATAGGAAATAATTGAAAATGGGAATTTCTCACCTAATGGCATTTTAGTACAAACACAGAACAAAAGTGATAATGTGAGTTGGTTGGTGGGTGGGTAGGTTGAGGGGTTTCCAAGTATCATTTTAGTTTACAGCTGTGAGATTGGTCATCTCTCAATAGCATATTTTGCTTCATTATGTATTTAGTTGTGTATGCTACCTCTAACATAAAATATATAGTTGCTTATATATATATATATGCACATTTTCATAGTGCAGAGTTCTACTTTCTCTAATAAGCCCTTCTGGTGTATTCTTTGGTACCTGAAATTTTCATGAGATTTTGCACTTCACGTTCAGAATGGAAATGGGTAGCTTATAGTCTGGCGCATTTTACATTGGTCAATTGTAACAGTGTAAACACCTGTCAGTCCTGAAAAAACACTGCCAAATGAACATTTGGGGTTCTTTTGATTTCAGCACCAAACCTAAAGGGCAGACCTCGCAAGAAAAAGCCCGGCTCACAACGACGCGACTCACAAGCTCTGAATGGACTGAAAGATTCCAATGATGATTCAGATGGAAAGAACATTGCCAAGGTATGCACGTTCAACAAACTAATTCAAGTCCCAGCTTTTTTTTTCTTTTATTGGCTGCAATTGTGTTCAAAATATCATTGATGGATGTCATGTCAGTCAAATCAATCCTGAGGAAATTACACTGCATAATGAAACTTGGGTTTATGTAGAAAACGTCAAATGGAAAATTTTGCTGCTGTTGTAAATTCTGCCTATTTTATTTCTCAGTCAAAATGTGAGTCTAAAGCTATGATGGCAAAACCCAAAAATAACAACAGCAACTGCAAAAACATCACAAGTCATGAAAAAACAAAGACTGCATCAGGTGATGAGTGCAGAGCAGAGGAGCAGGCTTTCCTTGTTGAACTCTACAAATACATGAAGGAAAGAAGCACTCCAATAGAACGGATCCCTTATCTTGGATTTAAACAAAGTATGTGTAATTTTTTTTACTAAAATATCTAACATTTAGGACAAGAAAAAGTATTATATCTGTACTGAGTACTGATCCATTACCAAATCAGGTGGTAGAAGTAACAGCACTACAGTAGTTTAAGAATATTCCAACTCAAGAGTACACTTTTATCAATCAGTACGACATTGCATGAGGGATGTATTATGATGAACTGATAAAGTCAGTTCACATCTGAGCCACATCATTTTGCACATCTGACTGATATTCAGCCTATCTGGGGGTATCCCACTGTTTACCAACAGAATAAGAAGTTATTCTTGCTGCTAAGTGTTGACCACTGGAATTTTCCAATTATAAGTGCTACATTTAGCAACAAAAAATTGTGTTTCCCCATAATATTAAAATATCTAACATTTAGAACAATAAAGAGTATTATTTCTGTATTTTCTTGTCCATGTACCATTTCAGCATTATTGCATCAGTTAATCTGTTACAGTGAGGTCTTCCTCCTACTGATGAACTCAATGATTGTAAGTCATGTTCAATAAGGAATTAGATGGTGATATCCCATTATAAGCTTATTCATGTCAAAATTATTACATTTAGGAGCTAGAATATATTCTCACCATAGATCATACTTTGGAGCACAGGAGGTGGTAATTTGCCCCATTGTTTTATTGCTAATCCTACAGGTGCTGACTGCTCTTTCTTTACTTCAAGTATTGACCCATTTCTTTTCCATATGCTGTTATGGGCTCAGATTCATCAGTCTTTTGTGTTAAAGATGTTTTTATATGTGCAGAACTGTAATAACAATAAATAACGACTATAATGATTCAGAAAAGTGTAATTTGTGAATTAGAAACCCCATGTTATTCAATGTACTTTGCTTTTCAAGAAACAAAGGATTTGATTTGCATTAAGGCAGCCTAGCAAAGGTGATTGTGTTCAGCTCTTCAAGGCCCACTTGTTTTCAGGAAACATTGTTGTGGTCCAGTGCTCTATGCACTTCCAAGATCAGGCTCAGCACTTACACCACTTTTAGACAGAATCCAGTTCTATAGATACCCAGAAGGAGAGTAGTGTAGCCACTTTGTACAATTTCACTAACACCTTCTGATGCTTAAGGGATCTTTTATGGGTCAAACTTTGATGTCCCTGGACTTACACTTTTAATGGTGCCAATACTGATCTGAGGTTAGTCCTCTTTAGCAGGAAGAACAAAAAAGAGGCAGCATGTTTTGAGGCACCGGTGGCTGGATCACACATGCCACCAGATGCCTGCACAGACATAACCATCCAGCGTGACTGATCCTGGTGGCTGAATGGCAGGCATTTATAGTGTTATTTCTGCACATATGTGGAACCTGTGACATGATCAGTAACATAATGATGATGGGAGGAACCTTTACTCGACAAGCCCACTAACTACTGTAAATAACTAGAACATAGGCAGGAACAAAAGGCCAGGGGCAAAATTGTGTGAAATTCAAACAATTCCGTTTCTGGCCTCTGCTACTGTTATTTTGGTAAAGGCGATTACATGATTGATCGGATCCTTATGCGATCCATGTGTGCATTTATATGACCTGATTCTCTGTGCACACAGACCAAACCTAGGATTCTGGAAAGCAAAGCGGTAACTTCACAAGCACTCATTGTGTCAGTATGGTCTAAACCTATGATTGTTGGTTTGAAATCCATGGGAAAACAGATTTTATAGCACAATAACTAGTACACGAGATCTATTAAAGAAATTTCACCACATAATTAAGTCCATATCAGATTCACTTCAGAATAAAACTTGTTGTAGTGTAAATAGGCTTTAAGCCTGTAACCCTATATAACCAAGGAACAACATTTGCACAGATGTTTTTTAGATCACCTCTGAATGCCCTGTTTAAACTCAAGTGATGATGTAAAGTACAATTTGTTTTATCTTTGATCTGTAGTGGCTCTAATGGTGCTACCAGAGAAGTCTATGTCATTAAAGCTTGTTGAGAATTACCTCAGGGCACTTGCCCATTGTGTGAACATTCATGACAGAGTACTACTACTGCAGATTATTCTAAAGCAGTTAACAATGTGAAAGAACTGGATACAGTCGTAAGATTACAATATGTACAATAAAATCCAGTGTATAGTGCACACTGTCAGACAGTTTTCTCATCCTCAAAATTTACCATGCAACTTTTATTGACTAAATCGGCAACCAGTGATTTATATGCTGGTACAGCCCAGATTCAACAGTATGTGGAACTGTTTCGAGAGTTATAAAGAGTGTTAAGAGTGGACATTTACAAAATGTTGCCATAATGGAAGAGTTTGAAATGCATGCAAAGCCTTTTTTTCCTATGGGTAAATCTCTTTAAAAAACATGATATGTGGGTGATGTGTCTGCTTAAAATGTCAGAGCTATCAGAAGTATCTGTTGCTCCTTTACCTTAGCAGGTAACCAAGAATAGGTCTGCCACATGAATGGGAGTATTTATATGCAGACAGTTATCAAAGTGCACATAAATTGTTGGGAACACACTAGTAAACAGTAACCAAGCAGATATAAAATATACAGCCAGGAAAAGAGTTCTCAGAGGATTAGACGTTAAACCACACATGGCCATTGGAAGAATGCAGGAAAAAAGAGCAAAGGAAAAGTGCAAAATACAAAAGAAAAGTGGACAATTGTGACACTGAATATTCAACAGATACTTGATATAGTGACTTACTCCATAAAGTTTATCTCTGTTTACCTTGGGTAGTGGTTTCCCAACACAGGAACTCAACAGTTTGCCCTTCATTAATTGTCGCTGGCTCATGCTTGTTTGATGAAAATAACATGCCAAAGCCTGTTTTACACATTATCATTTATTTTTGAAAACACTTAACTACTATGTCAGAGTAGTAAAGATTTCTTACAATGTAAATATTATTACTAGAAAGACATGAAGTGGAATGATTTCAACAGTGGCTGTACCTTTCATTTCCTTAGTTTTAGCAAAATAGAACAAATGTTGAACATTTAAAGTATTATCTTTAAAACAGTATTTGTTTCACAATCAGCATTGCTCAGAATACTTTGAATATGTTACATATTGGTGGAATTAAACATGCCCTAACAAGCCAGTTTCCAAGTACAGTATTTTTATGCATTTTTCAAATGTTATTTTTCTATGGTAGCATTGTTAATGAAAGTTTACCACTGCTGCCTTTTCCTGAAGTCTGAAAATGGAAGCGTTTTTGCCCTGAAATTCTTATCTTTACACTTATTATTGTCCCTTCTAACAGTTAACCTTTGGACTATGTTTCAAGCTGCTCAAAAACTAGGAGGATATGAGGCGGTAAGTTTTGCAGTACCTCACAATAATTATTCCCTTTAACTTTGTTCTATTCAGTCTGTCATTCTGCATTGTTATAAATAAATACAGCCTATCATAAACTCTTATGATGACTGTAGCCAGGATACGTTTATAGAATCATTTTACACAGAGGCTACAGATTAGATCCAGATTCAGTGCAGTTAAGAGTTATTGTACAAAGCTACCAGTGGAAAACATATGTAAAGCTTCTCTGTCACAGAAATAAGTGAGATCTGTAATTTTTTCCCATGTTACCTCTCAAAGGGGGCAATTATGAAAGCAAGCCAAGACTGCAGAAAAGAATTTTGACTTGGCTGCTTACTTGGCATGTGTTCGTTTGTAATATGGGAAAGTATTAATGTCTGCAACGTGAGTCAGTCATGGCCATTAAAGAATCGTGAAGGGTATTGTTTCCATTTGCTGGTGGTGTAAATGACTTGTCTGACAAACTGATATACAATATATTAATAAAAAACCATCACAGTAACCAGGAAACAAATCTAAATCTACATTTTTCAGTCAGAATGATTACATCTCAGTGGAATGGTTTGGAATTGATTAGTCAATGTAAGATCTCTAAGACTTACATTCTGCATATTTCAATGTTAATACATTTTAGGCAAATGCCTAACGTATTCACATGAATTTTATGGGAGCAGAATATAGATCACGAAATGCCGCTTAAAAACATTGTATTGTACCTGTATATTGATTCATCCAGATGTGGTACTTCTGCATTCCATCTCAGTGAATAATTTTTGTGTTGTTGGCAGATATCTACAAATGATTTTTAATCTGCTGAACCAGAATTATTAACCTTGAATGACTAAAGGAATTTGTTTTGGTATCTAGTCAGCAAATGTTTTCCATTATGTTATTTCTAGAATGATATTTTCATAATGGGTATAACAGCATCAGAGTGTAGACATTTAACGAGTCTCTATTATAGCACTGTCAAAGGCGAGTCAGAATTTTCCACCTTGCATTATTATTAATTGGCAATGTGGCAATGATATACTATTGTCGAAATGTTAATCTGATAGTGAACGGAAAATTACTCTCCAGGCAGTTTGAGGCTTGGAAATGATTTTGTGCTTTGTCAAAGTAAAAAAAACATTTATCAACCATATTGTCTTTTAAATAGAGACAAAAATTTACATCTGTCTTCTTGGTGCCTGACACAACAGGTGTGAAATATGAATCACATTAAGGCTTACTAATTTTAAATTGTCACCCCTTTAATAAAAAATACATATTTTTTAAAAACTCCTTCCTATATGCGAGCTATAAATATGTTTTGCACAATTCTGAAGCAAGTGAAATCTTTCAAAGGTTCAATTGCTTCAGAAACCAGATGAATTATTTTGTTTATTTTAATAAAGGCAATCTCGGTGGTTTCATGCATAGGTTTTCCACTACAGCGTTTAGTAATGAAATTCCATTGAAGGTTGCACTATGCAAAACATATTTTCAATACTCTTATACAGAATCCTTATGCAAATCAGGCTCTGGTTCAGCTGAGTTTTCCCCTTTGAGACTTCTCTGAACATGTAACATTTTGACTCATATGTAATTGTATCCTGTCAAAATAATGCACGTCAAATAACGATATTGTTTGCTGTAACTCGGAAAACTGAGGTAGTGAGAGCTGAACTTAACTTGGAAACTAACTTATTATCGAATCTGAACACAAAACAGAAAAGTCAGCTCATATAAAATGATGTTACAGTATTTGAATTTGCCTTACATTTCTTTACCTTGGATGTAATTTAGAAAGTTAAAAGAACTCTTCAGTAGTCTTGATTTGAAAATAATGTACAGTTCTGGGATTATCCTTTCCAATTAACATGACGCATGTCCTGTCTAAGATCATGAATAATTTCAGACAAAATAAAAAAATTATAGATACCTATTCCATTCAAAAGAATACAATTACAAATCATTATCTTACATTAGTCATATGATGAAATGTTTGTGAAATTGCACAGTCTGACTTTAAGAAAAAAGGAAATTGCATTTTATAGCACCTCATCATGTTGAAATGTCTCAAAGAACTTATTGGTAATTCTCTACAAGACGATTATAAATTTCCCACACAATGCATAGTTTTAACTAGGCCATGCCAATGTTTGGAGGGGTGAGCAAAGCAGAAATGATTTTCAAAGGAGAGGAAATTGTTTGACAAGACATTCTGAGTTGCTCTCACGCATCTCCTAGTGGCCAATTACAGTACAACATTAACTGAGGCTAGTCAACTTGCCTGTGCCAATTGGGAGACTTAGGATCAGTAGAAAGTAGATGTAAGAAAATTGGGGAATTAAAAAAGAAAGAAAATGTGGATTTTTTTTTGAACGAAATGCCTGTTCATCCATCCCTTTCATCGCTTTTCTGTATCCAGTGGTCAGGAGTACAGGGTTCTTCGGACTATTTAATAATAATGATTCATTAATAATAATAATATTTTGGTCACTCTATCCATGACTGTTTGAGGGACACTGCTGTGCACAATTGGCTGTCGCATTTCACCCACAAAATATACAATCAATTAACTTTACAGTATATTCTGTGGAGCAATACAAAAATTATGAGACTCTTAACGACATGCACAATAACAAATGCAAGGATTATTATTATTATTTGTTTCCATGACCTCTGTTAATGGCACACAGTATTGGTTTATAGAAAATGGACTTTGATGGGGCAGATTTCTCTGCTTTCTCAAACAATGAGAGACGATTTTACCAGAACAGGAGGTGAAATTCAAAGAATAGTTGAGGCTAGAATTTTGACTTATGGGCTAGAATTTTAACCTGTGATTCTTCAAGTTGAGTGACCTACCACTTGAGTTACTGCCCCTGTTAAATAGGGTCCAATTTGCAAGCATATGTGTGCAGTCATTTCAATTTTGTAATTAATAAGCAATATAAAGGATTAATAAATAAATATGAAATAATCCTCGCATTTGATGTAGAAGCTTATCACATCGTTCAAAAGTGCTTCACCGAATTTACTATGGAGCGTAGTGAATACATTTTGTAAGTGAACAGTTACAAGTGATTACAGATGATTTTTTAATCCTTCCCATTGGCTGTTAATTGCGTGCATTTGCAATTCCTACTGTACACTTGCATTTTCACATCATTAATTCACCTTGAGAATTGGACTCAATGACTTTGGGTAACCTGAAGTGACTCCCTTCACCTGTTTACACTGTCAGGAATAGAACATCAGTCCAGAGTTGTCAATTAATGCCGACTTACTTGTAATCTTGACAGATAACTGCACGTCGTCAATGGAAACATATTTATGATGAATTAGGTGGTAATCCTGGAAGCACAAGTGCTGCTACATGCACTCGCAGGCATTATGAGAGGTAAGACACCAATATTTCAGATCTTTTCATACAAACTTTTTGGTTTGAGCAGTTGCTCACTGACATCTATGGAAACCATGGACTTTAAGAACACCTGAAAGTCAAATTAGAAAGACTCATTTCGCTTCAAATGAATTGAAGTGGGTTTTTGGATGTCAATACGTCGTTTCCTTAAACACTTCCATGTAACATCAATCATTTTATGTACATCTCTGATGTTTGACATGAAACTAAATTAACATTAGCTATTTTTTTTTTAGGAATCAAGAGATAAACATGATTTTGTTTCTCAGTAATAGTCTGCAGTCATTTCAAACCTATAGACAAGCTGCTGAGCATGATAAATGAATCTGCTTTAGAAATTTTCCCAGAAAAGCAACAATTAAATACATGTAAGCTATCCATTCATGCTATGTCTCCCTAAAATGATTAAGTGCAGCACTGAATATCCTATGTGTTGTCACCATGAATTGTGGTTAACATTATAACATACAAAAGACGTTTATTTTTTATTTTTACACAGGTTATTTTGAGTCCTTTGCACTTAGTGCAGAATGTATTTAAAAAAATATTTCTTATGATGTGATCTCAGCTGTTCGCTGGATGTTTTTATTTTAAGCAAAGCAGGAACAATTTAATGCTGATGATTTCATTAATGTCCCTGCAGGCTTAACTGGTCCAAACCTGCCTCTAGTTTGTTTTAATTCAAATCGGCTCAGGTACTTTAGAAAAAAATGTCTTAGTCAGCCTTAATTTGTTCTGAAACTATCCATCACTGTCAGAATTTAATACAAATTGCCAGCCACTTGGCTAAAGTTCTCCACTGCACCAAATTTAATTAGTTGGATTACAGATGATTAACTGTAGAATCAGCATTAATGCTATTCCCACCATGAGGTTGCTGCTAAGAGTGTATTTAAATTCATTTTATTCAGCCATATAATTAGCTTGTAAACATGGATCGGTTTGTGAATTAATTTGCAATACACACATGTCTGTAACAATTCAAGGAATCCATACCAGCAAGTGGGTTGTGAAATACAGTATAATAGAAAATAATCTCCTTCATTTAGAGAATTAAGAGAACCCTGAGGGCTTGAAGGTCTATTGCTACACCCGGCATCTTAAAATTACAAAGACAGGATAACTCATGGCTAGCAGCAGGAAGATTAATGTTATAGCATTGCTCCTGTGCTCGTCCGTCTGCTTGTCTTTATCCATCCAATTGTCCACTGAGTTGTGATTTACAACATGCCATCTCTGTAATTTAAAAGCATTTATGACCAGGCTTTAATAAATGATTTCCCTTCCTTTTGTGTAACAATTGTTGCTGTGGTGGATGCTGGATCCCAATCACAAATAGGGGACAGCCAAGAATTACATAATTAAGTATTACCCTCTATATTACATGTAGTTTTACATGTTTAACACAACTTGCAAAATTGCCTTCTCTGTGTGTTTTCTCTCCCACTCCAATAGCTATTATTTTTTAAAATTGAAGTAGTAGTGCTATCTATTGAGAGTTAAAAGAAGTTTTGCTTTTGGCTACAAGGCAGACTTGTTTGTGAGAACTCAACAGTATAATTTTGTCCCTCTCAAGCTGTTGGTACCTTCTTGAAAGCATAGCATATCAAACAGATCAAAGTAAATGTACCTTTTGTAACAAAAATACAGATAGAAGGAAGATCCATCCTCCTCCTCAGATCATGCAGATGCTCTGAACTCTACCAAAGAGGAGCTAGCAATGCTTGTGGTCTTGGAGGTCTAGATGTTGTCTACTTTGGACTGCAGATCCTGATGGATTTCTCTGCCTCTCTGTAAAGCTCAGGCTATTATACATTATATTATAACTATATTATACAAGCACCAATACAGTTCCACTCAGAGAGACTTCCTTTTCACTTGGGACCTGATCAGTCTATCAGAGCAGTAATCCATGAGATTAGGCAGCAATTTCCCTTGGCACTGAAGTCAAAAGGTCTTCAAATATTTATTTGAGCAAGCGATAATAAACTGAAAGTAGCTCTTTAGATTCATAGGTTCATGAAACCTGCCAATAAGTAGCTGGAACCCCTTTTCAAGATTGCGAATGGTCAGACAGGCAAATCGTCGCACGTCTTTCTCATAAGGTATTATTTGCAACACCAACTTTTTAGAAGTCAGAACACCACTGACAGGGCAGCAACTATGTGTCTAAGTAAAGGCCCTTTGAGTCTCAAGCAACAGTTTGTCTGTTGCCCCTTATTTTGCTTGCCCTACCAGATTGCTCTACAGGTTTGCTGACAGCCTCCAGTCAGACTGACATGAAGAGGATGACCTTGAAATCTGAGAAAACATTCTTCACAAAAACAAACATTTTACATAGGAATGTACAGGACCATCTGGTCAATATCAAAGTTTTTTTTAAAAAAACATACTTCCCGTTAATTGATTTCATCAAAACTATTCGCAGCTCCCTTGAATTTGCTGGCCCAATCCATTTCCACCACCTTTCTAGTAATCCATTTCACATACCCACTGCTTGGGGTAGGTAGTGTGATACAAATTTGATCACCTTCCCTATATGTTGAGTTTTTTTTTAAAAAGGGAAGGGCTCAATTTATCTATATGGCTTCTGGTTTTTGATTTTAACTGAGATAAAACCGATAAAACACCTTTGATACAAAAATATGTAATCAAATAAACACTGGAACAACACCAGAAATGGCAACTCAACTCCAAGGTGAGGTTTTCTCTAACGCTCACTCTTGGCGCCGATCTGATCTGCGAATGCATCGCTTTCCGCCTCTCTCGCTCGCTCTCCTCCATGTGCACAGGTGCCTCTGGTGAAGCATTTGAGAGGAGGGAGGCATTGCATATGAATTAGGGCACCTCTCTCCCTTCCGTGTGCCCAGGCTTGTGTTCTCATTACAGTAACAAAAAAACAATTTATAAATACTCTAAAATTCCTAAAAATAAACCCTAAAATATTCAATTATTAAACCCTGAAAAACGGAAGCCCTATCTGCACTTCATAATCTTAAATTCTTCAATAAAATATTCCCAGACATCCGCTTACAAAATACAGTCATTACACTTTTCAGTGTATCCTATGAAGCACTTTAAGATTTTCTCCCAACATGAAAAGCATGTAAGGATTATTATTAGAATTATTATTCTTTCAAAATGCAAGGTTGTTTATATCCTTGCATATCCCTTGTCTATGGCAAGAATAATTAACATGGTGGAAAAATAACAGAAATATTGGGGTCATAGAGGATATTATTTGCAAAGCCATTCAGATTTTCTCCACTACCCAAATTTCACTCTAATACTCTAACTAAAATGTAAACGAAGAGGAAATTATCTTGCTTACAAAATGTGTTCATTTTATGACCATATATCAATGATATTTCAAAATAAACTAATACTTTCTGTTTTAAACTGCTGAACTGTGTCACCACCAAAGAGTTTCCTTGAAGCAATCGTAACACATTTGCCAACTCTGACATAATAAACAGTCTTTGTCAGAGAATTAGCAACAAATGACTAAAACATTCGAAACATTGCTCAGTGTAAGCTGGAGAAAATGATGGATGATCCCAATGTGCCAATTTGTTTTAATAAAGGTAGAACATCAACATTTTCATCAACATCTCATGTTAATAGGTTAAATGAAAGCAAGGAAGACCTGTCCTAGATTTTTTTTCAAAAGAAAATATAATAGTGTCCTTAGGGCATAGTTACTGAGATTTAGTAACCATGGCAGATCTTTTGTGAAACTTTTGAGATAGGATGCCACAGGTCATCACTATATTTTTACCTCCGAGACATGGCCTCGAGACTAGCTCTACTGAATTAAATGAATGTCTCTCATGCAACTATCTTTCTAAATTATAGAAATAAAGTTGGTTCTATTTCCTGAATAAGATTTGTTTAGGCCTGCTGTGTGAGAGAATACATTTTTGGAGGATACCATGCCTGCTAATTCAAATTGTAAATTCAAAGAATTTACCTATTATCTGTTTCTGTGTGTTTATCTCACATAATGTTCAGCCACACTATATTGTGTTGACCTTTTGAACTGCAATGAAAATCCAGCAAGAAATTCTTCTGAATTGCTGAATTGTTTTTCTCAGTATTTGAAACTCTTTATGATGAATACATCTTTCTTCAAATAAATAATTTTAATGAATAATTTATAACAGACCACAGATTTCCAGCACTGCTTACATTGCAATAATTGTATCCCAGCATAGAGTCAACATAATAGGTCTTATTACAGTAATGTATCTCTGATTTTGCCAATAATCAAAGTAACGGTGTACGCAATTTACAAAATACAAAAAACAGACAAAATCTCTGTGGTTTCCAAAGTTTTATTGGAACTAAAATTATTGTATTGGGCACCAGACTAAGCCTGGTTTTACCTAACATCATGCCAATTCATATCACATATTGTCTTTTTTAATATATATATATGTATAAAATTAGTGGAGTTTTCCAAACATGTCAATTCTTTTTAGAACTTAAAAGCTCTACCAGACTTTCTCAATGGTTGCTGCCTGATGTAATATTTTCAATCTCAAGATATTCTATTCTCACAAGAAATTGTTTCCACAGTTATCAGAAGAAAGCAGCTTTGGAACACACAATAGTATTGCTGAATTCAAATCAAAAACTGATACTTTTTTATAGTTTTTGGAAAATGTGTTTTGTTGGCCTTGGAACATTTTTGGAAAAAAACATAAAAAGCATACTCAGAATAGTTTTAAAATTTGAGGTATTGTACATTTCTATCTAAGTCACAATGCAATTAGAAACTTTTTTTGTGCTATAATCACAGCACCAACTTGGAGTTGCAACAACAACAACCTGCATTCATGCAGCACCCTTCATACAGCACACTACCCTTGGGGTAGTGTCTTGGAGAGTTTAACCGTGGTGGAGCACGATGTTGAGCCGGGGGTAGGGGGGACAGTCGAAGAGAAAGGTCTTCAAGCATGATTTGAAAATGGGGA